GGCTTGGCAGAGCTGGAGTTAGAAGGCAGAGCTCCAGCCTGTTGTTCCTGTTCTCCGATGGTTTAGCAGGCTGCCATGCTGTGCTGGTGCACCCAGCGTGGGGTTTGTTTTCCCTCTGGAAAACCTTAGTGGTTTTAAGTAGAAGGGGGGAGCTTTTGCACTGTAGAGAGACCTGTAGAGAAACTCACGGCTGTGCCTTCCTCATAAGGTTATTGTCACTGGTGTTGCTGCCTCTTGTGTCTGTGGTTAAATTGCTGCTGTTAGTGTGAGAGAGGAAACTCTAATGTAGCGTTTCCTTACGGCACAGTGAATGTTGCTGTGTCATCTTCAAACCTGAACCAACCTTGTAGTAATTTGCTGGTGATTATTGAGACAAGAGGAAAGGTGGAAAAGTTGTGACAAATCCATCCTAACTGTGAGGTTTGCTGCCACGTCACCCCTGAAAGCCCAAGCCTTTCTTAATTAAGGGTAAGGCCCGTGCATAAAGAAGTCAGTTGGCGTTAGTGACTTCATTGAGTGACTCCATGGCTCTGTGCTGGGGCTGAAATGTCACTGCTGAGCTGTAAGTGTCCTGACTGCTGACAGTTGGACTAGTCAGGCGCTTTTGTGGGCTTTATTCCTTTCACATATGTGGAATAAAACCCACTTTTTCTTGCAAAGCTCTGCAGTGCATTGTCCACATGTACGTTCAGCTGGTCTATCAGGTCCTTTGATCTGCTGTAGAAAGGAGCTAAAGGCTTAAAAATAGAAAAGAACAGAACAAAACCTGAATTCTTTAACTGGCTCTTGCTGTCTGCATCCCAATTTCCTTTAAAACTTTAATATCTCAGTCACTTAATTATTTACATTGTGAAAGTTGCTGGCCCCTGTTATAGCTCAGTTTTCTTGCCAGATTGAAATGAAAGTGTTCTTTTGGGGTAGGTAAAGTCATAAAACCTGGTTTTATCTTTTCCACCAGCCCGAGTGGTGCAGTGAAAATCGAACGCTCTGAAAGGCCCCTGGGGTCCTCTCTGGAGCAGGCAGGCGGCTGCTCTGCCACCCCCAGGCCTTGTGTTTTGAGCTGAGTCTCTGCAGCCAGATCCTTGAGATCTGCTTCTGTGTCCTGCTGGGGAACTGCCTGGCACTGGGCTCGTGATGCTGAGAGCAGGAAAGGTGATGGGGCTCACGCTGCAGAGCTTTCTGCCAGGCTCTGGAGTAGAAGAGCTGGAAACCGATCCCTGCTTCTGCGATGTTTCTCCAGCCCTGTGGAGCAATCAGCAGGTTAATAGCAGAGTAGAGCCTTAGCCTTCAGCTGCTGGTCTCCTTGTGCTGTGCATTTGATGGCCTAAGGCATTACTAGGAATTACTAGAGCAAGACCTGAGGATTTTAAAAATTAAAGAGTATTAATAATTAAAGGTATTGGCGTGACCTCATTGTGGCCTATATTTAACATGCTGTGTAACAATCTCTCTTCCAGTAAGAGCTGCACCATAGGAATGGTTCTTCGGCTGTGGAGCGACACTAAAATCCATCTTGATGGTGATGGGTAAGAAACCACATTAAAAGGATAAATGTGAATATCCTTCCCTACTTGGGGGCTGCTCAAGGAGAGATTCTCTGTCACCTTGGAAATGAAGTTCCAATTCTGGATTCATGGCTGCAGTCCTCTTATTCAGACAGTGAGGTTTTTGTCTTGCTGCCCTCAAACTGCTGGGTGGAACCCGTGATACCCAGTGAATACTCCCTGAAGTCCCACTCAAGGGGTGGAACTCCCATTCCTGTGAAGGGTCTCCGTTGCCATTCTTATTTGGGAGGATGTTGGAAAATCAGTGACAGAAATTCTCATCCCTGATCCTTCTTGACTGTGCCCCTTGCAGTAGCTGTTTGTAGAGTGCAGCTTGTGAGGAGCAGTTTCTGACACTTGGGTTTTGCCTCCTCTCTCTGTTAGTGGCTTCAGCGTGAGCACTGCAGGGAGGATGCACATCTTCAAGCCAGTCTCGGTGCAAGCCATGTGGTATGTGTGTTTTAATTGGCTTTGTTGAGAAAGAAACTCATTTCTGTGAGTAAATTAAAACCAAACTGCATTTTAGCACTCTCTGTAATTGGTATTTAGTGAGCTGCAGCAGAGATGCTGCAGCAGAGATGCTGCTTCCCTGTGGCAGCAGGTACCAGTGCTTTAAAGGACTGAGAATGCTGATCCAAAACCAGGATCTTCTGTTTGTTCAGAGCAGTTGTGGGCCCTTCAGTGTGAGGGAAGTGGCACTAATGAGATGAATAAATATGAAAGACCACCTTGAAGCCATCAGGCTGCAAACCCAGTCTTTCCCCTCTCTGCATATGTTTGACTGGCTGAAGGAGGAGCCTCAGGACCCGTTGCCAATCCGATGGCATTCCCTGTGTTCTGCCTCGTTGCTGGGGTTCCTGCCGCACGGAAACTTTCCGCCCCGGGTGCCTGTTCACCTTTCAGCTCCTGTCACCCCTCCCTTGTGCAGGGATTCCAAAACACTGAAGCAGAGGTGGCTGAATCAGCAGCAGCTCTGCCAGCAAATTCCTCCTTGAAGAGGCTGCTCCCCATCCCCGCGCAGAACAGATGCATCTCTCTTGGTCTGGACAGTCGGCTGGTTCCTCTTGGAGCCTCCAGAGATCCCTGGCTTTGCTGCATCTGATAGGGAAAAGATACAGATGTAGAGAAGGGTGTCGTGCTAGGGATGATTGGGTACAGAAACAACTGAAACTCTTGTTGCTGTCACTTTTGAACTCGGCCCCTCCTGTTGGCAGCCTCAGATGTGGTTAATGTGTTCAGTACAATGACATCTTTGGAGTAAGAACCTTAAAGAAAGAAAAATGTGAGGAGGGAAGGAAGGAAAAAGTAATGTTAGAATTTGCAAAAACAAATGACCCAATCTGGGCCTTGTCCCTGGAGCATGTCAGGGGCCAAGAATGCTGGTAAATACGCATCTGACTCCTTGCTGAAGGTGCTTTGAAAATTGTCCATGTTCTTTATTTTCCTTTGGTCTGGTTGCACAAGTTAACTAATGATTAGATCCCAGAGCGACTTGTGCCTTGGGCTTGCCTGTTAATCAGGACAAGCTTTTGGCCTCTGCCTTGGACTGGCTGTTGAGGAGGGCTCCAAGGGGCAGTTTGTGCCCTCTTTGAACTCTGATACAAAAACTCTGTGGCTCTCACAAAGCAATAAACTGCTGAAAACGTTGGTTTTCGCTGTGATGGTCACTCAGATCCTGCTCTGTCTGTCCCTGCTGCTTGCATCTGAGCATGTTTGTTCTCCAAACTTGCAGGTCTGCTTTACAGATCCTCCACAAAGCCTGCGAGGTGGCAAGAAGGTACAACTACTTCCCAGGCGGGGTGGCCTTGGTGTGGGCCACGTACTACGAAAGCTGCATCAGCTCCGACCAGAGCTGCATCAATGAGTGGAATGCGATGCAGGACCTGGAATCCACCCGCCCCGACTCTCCAGCACTGTTTGTTGACAAGTTAGTTCTGAATTTTGTTAGAAGTTGGCTTGGCTCATGAGAGGAATCTCCCCTTTTCTCTCTTCTTCCTCCAGTGGCTCATTTCCTTTCTTTTCTCCAAGTCTTCAAATGTTTTTCTTCCATTATTCTCATAAAAATCCCTTGGAATCCAAGTCTTTCCCACCACTCCTGCACTGTACGAGTTGCAGCCTGTGTTTATTGCCAGCTTGGAGACAACATCCTCTCCTTTTCCTTTCCAGGCCAACTGAAAGGGAACGAACAGAGCGGCTCATTAAAGCCAAACTCCGGAGCATCATGATGAGCAAAGACCTGGAAAATGTCACTTCCAAGGAGGTAAATATAATTCCTGCTATCTCATTCTTCCTGCTAGACTGCTTTTCCAGGGAGTGCTGCACTGCTGAAGAGACACCATATGACGAGGTGTTACTGGCTTTTTGAGTGTGTACTTGAAAGGCTCTGCTCTTTGGCTTTGCTATACCTCTCTTTCCCAGCAGGAAAATCGGGGTAATGCCACATCCATGTCATTTTCACAACCTTAGTAACAAGTGTGTGACTTCCAAATCACGGTGCCTGGTTCTTCGCCAGCCAGGTGGCGCTGGAGGTGATGCCTGCATGGCAGTTGGGTTGTAGCACGGGTGGGTATGCCCGAGCAGTGACTTTGTAGACACTTACTCCTCGGTGCATCCCTCGAGTGACACGAGCAAAGGCAGGACTCTCAAAAGCTGCAGCTGGTGGGTTGAGGCCTCACAGCTGTGTTGGATGAGTGATCTTCACTTGCTCATGGACAGTGCAGAGCAGAGTATGAGCCTTCCTTTGTCCACTTGGCTTCATTTTAAGGTTTTATCTTCTTTGTTGCTGAATGAGTGTCAGAGGGGCTTGCAGACAGCATTTTGCTAGTGGGTTTATGGATGGAAAATCACAAGTCAAGGCTTAAGCTAGTTTGGGTCCATCCCACAGGCTGGTGTAAATATGTCCAGCCGCAGTGCAGACAGATTGAAAGCAAATAGAAATAGTTCTTGTGGGTTTGGGGTTTTGTTTTTCAAGGGAGGCAATTAACATGCAGGGTTTTCCTTCCTAAGCTTAGCACTGAAGGCTTCAGCTACTCTCTTGTGTAACAGCAGTGCTACAAGTTGTAGGCGTAAGCTGCGAACTCCTCAGTCTGTGTACATGTTCCTAACGCTTGGTGCAGTCAAGATGCTTTGATTTTCCTGCAGGAATTTTCCATGGTGGGGTCAGACAAAGTTGTGCTGCTTTGCTTTGCCCCTTCCTGAAGCTGAGGGGCAGGGAGAAGGCCGTATGTCCATGCCCTGGTGTTTTGAAGTGGGAAATCTCTCTCTTCACCAGTGCTGCTGCCATTATTTACTCCTTGCAGATGTTTCCATTGAACAGGCGTGATTCTAGGTGGCATCCTTTGTTTTCTGCTCTGCAGATACGAAATGAGCTGGAGAAACACATGAACTGCAACTTGAAGGAATTCAAGGAATTCATAGACAATGAAATGCTGCTTATCCTGGGTCAGATGGACAAACCATCTCTCATTTTTGATCATTTATATCTGGTAAGCTGCTGGGTTTGGAGCTCTGGGATAGCAGGAGGCTCAGTGGGAGTGAGCTAAGAAGTGGTTGGGTTTAGAGGAAGCTGGATTTGGTGTCGAGGCTGACTTGTGCTGCATGAGCCCTTTATTTTCTAGCTATGTTGTTGATTCTGGGCCTTGATAGAACGGTTTTCTGGCAAGTTGATCCTGTCTCAGGTCACAGCACAGCTCAAATTCTCTCTGTGCACGTTCATTTTCTATTTCTAGCAATGGAGATTTTCCTTTTACAGCAAACAAAAGGCCTGGCTGGGGCTGCAGCCGTTTGCCCTTGGGCTCTGGTTAGGGTCACTGCATCTTGACTAAGCATCTGAGGTTCTGTAGCATGGCCAGAGCTATGTAAAGACCAAGGCTGAAGGTGATGGCCCAGCTTGTGCAGAAGCAAAGAACGGCCTGTGTTTCATCTAATCTTTTGCCACTAGATGGTACTCCAAGCAAAAGCAGGCACTGCCATCTGGAACAAAGACTTGCTGGAGATGGACACACTTGTGCCCGTTGTGCTTGGGTCTTTCTTATTATTACTGTTCTGGAGAGAGGCAGAGGAAATGCTCAGGTTTGAGAGAAGAACCCGCCTTTGAAACCCTTCTTAGCTTTCTGGTTTGCAGCTACTGGGGGGATCCGTAGCTGCAAACCACCCCTGTAGCTTTCAGGATTTGCCTCACTTCTCATGTGCCTGTGATCCCAGTCATGCCACACATAGTCACTTACTTCTCCTTCAGGATCTCTGTGTTTAAAAATCCAGAGTGGGCAGGGGCAGTGATTTGGGGTGTGCTCAGTCACACAACACTGGCCTAGAACTAACTCCTCAGGGGAGTTGTAATGCTCTTATCCCCTCCTTCAGGAAGTCCCTGCCTGTCAGGCAGGACCCCTCTGTGCTGAGCAGCAGCACTGCCTGCCCTGTGCCGTATTCCAGAGGCTGTTGCCAGTATTTGAGCTAAGGGAGATGGTCCAGGCTGGGGGATTGCAGAACCTTAGGGAAAAGGGATGCTCGTGTGCTCCTCTGACATGTGTGTTTTGTGGCTGTTGCAGGGCTCTGAGTGGAATGCCTCCAACCTCGAGGAGCTGCAGGGCTCAGGGTGAGTACTGACCTTCCAGGCACCAGCCTTAGACTCTGAAACCTCCACTTGTTTGCTTTCAACTTACATTCAGGTCTCTTGAGATGACATACGATGTTTGTAGACAGTAGGGATGAGTTTGGGCCTGTTCTCAACATGGGTAACTTACCATCACCTCATTTGTGGGGGAATTTTTCCTACCTCATTTCTACCAATAACATGGAATGAAAATAGCAAAACTTCTTGTGAGTGAAGTACATCAGGATCTCTGAAAACCCCTCCAACGTGTAGCAGCTGAGTGTGAAATGCTCACCCATGATGTTGTGTGGGGTGTGAATTCCTGCAGGCTGCAGAGCAGCAAATAATACAGCACTAAGCTTAGGGGAAAAAAACTCTATCTGAATGGAGCAGAGCTTCCTGCGGGTGAGCAATCTGCACCTCACCTGCCCGGGCAGGCACTGCAGGGCTCTGTCACCACGCTCTCATCACCACACCACCACTTGGCTTCATTTGCTTTCATGCTTTTTGGCTGAAGGAGAATTTTGCATATAGATATTTGTTGCTTGCCCAAGGCACACACTAACCATGAGGTGAGAACCTGAAAAACATTGCTTAACAGCACAGAGAAGCTGTGGCTGCCCCATCCCTGGCAGTGTTCAAGGCCAGGTTGGACACAGGGGCTTGGAGCAACCTGCTCTAGTGGAAGGTGTCCCTGCCCGTGGCAGGGGGTTGGAGCTGGAGGAGCTTTAAGCTCCCTTCCAACCCAAACCAGGCTGGGATTCTGTGATGCTTCATGGACTTCATAATGTGCATCAGTTCCTCTTTCACAGCCGTGGCATTTCAAGTCTGTTTTCTCTGTGTTCTCCACAGCATTGACTACATCTTGAACGTGACCAGGGAAATTGATAACTTCTTCCCTGGTTTGTTTGCATATCACAACATCCGAGTGTACGACGAGGAGACAACAGACCTCCTGGCTCACTGGAACGAGGCCTATCACTTCATAAACAAGGCCAAGTAAGTGGGCTGGGGGCTGGGGCTTGTGTGAGGGCACATCCGAGCTGTGCCCTGTGTGCTTCATCCAGCATGGAGCTGAGCCGTTCCTGAATCCAGGGAGGATGCATCCATGGAACTTCCCCGTGGCTTGTCTCTTCCTGTGCTGGCATTACCCTGCTCTTAGCCAATGACGATATTATTATTGCTACTATTATTATTGCTATTATTGTTATCAGAAGGGAACAAGGGTATTTCCTCTTCCCAAGCTCTGGAAATGCTCCAACACATCATGTTGGACTAGCCCCCGCTGTCTCTGCAGACAAGAGATGGTGACAGAGCCCATCAAACCCTGCTGGGCTTTTACACTCAGGTTGTTCCTGCTTATCCCTGTATCCAAAGATTTGGCAGGCAGGAGGCTCCATGGTGATCTCTGAAAGGGCAGCATGACTGAGGCTGCTCTTCCCTAACTCCCAACTTTTCTGCAGAGAGATTGTTCTCAAGGCTTATTTACCCCAACAATGCTTCCGACCTGCTGAGCTGTGGTGCTGGGGTGCTCAGGAGGCCACGGTGCTGTCCCTCTGCTGTATAACAGCACATACCATAACCAAGAGGTGAGACGTGTTTCCCTGTTCGCCCTCCTGCAGGAAGAACCACTCCAAGTGCCTGGTGCACTGCAAGATGGGGGTGAGCCGCTCGGCGTCCACCGTCATCGCGTACGCGATGAAGGAGTTCGGCTGGTCGCTGGAGAAGGCCTATAACTACGTGAAGCAGAAGCGCAGCATCGCGAGGCCAAACGCGGGCTTCATGAGGCAGCTGCTGGAGTATGAAGGCATTTTAGATGCGAGGTGAGGCGGCAGGAGGGACAGAAAGGTGACTTGCAGGAAGCAGAGGGGCTAATTTTAGACGACCTCATGGTTTCTTCTATCACAAAACACGATCTGTTGTTCAGGTTGTTGTGTCAATGCGTTGCACACACGTGTTGTGCTCAGACACCAGCAGAGCATGTTGTGGTGCTGTGGTCTAAAGGGTCCTCTTCAGAAGGGTAGATACAGAAGCCTGGGCTGATGGTGTTTTCCTCAATGTTTTCTGTGCCAGGCCTCCCTGGGTGGAAATTAACCATCTTCCAGGGAGATCTGCTCTGGTTTAGTGCAGTGCGAGTTCCTCTGCGTGTGGGAAGTGTGTTCGTGTTCCTCAGCAGCCAGTACTGTTCAGCAAAACATTGTTCTTGGTTGATGAGGCAGAACTGAGCTCGGGCAGTATGGGAAGCAAATCATTTGCAGGTCTGGGTGACCGTGCCAGTCACAAGTCTTTGTCATCGCAAGCACTCTGGTACCTGGTAAGGGTTTCTGCATGCTGCACTTGGCCTCCGCTCTGCTGGGGGAAGAGGAGGAAGATTTGTCACTTTAGTTCAGTGGGAACTGTGCCATGAGACGTGCAGAGATGTTGGTTCAGAGGGGTTTGCTCTGCTGGGGGTCTCTGTGCCCCTCTGCCCTGAAGAGCTCTTCCCATTGTGGGTGCAGCGCAGGACTAAGAGTCTGCTGGGCTAAAGATACGTGGGAGTGGGCAGACAAGAGGGACAAAACCCTGATGCTGAAGATGGCTTTGCCCAAGTGGGACAGTAGGGCTGGTCCCAGTGGTCAGCATTTCCGTTCTGGGTTGTGGACAGGGAGGGATATTCCTGGAGCTGAGCACCCTCCAGTTTGACGATGGTCACTGGTGTCTTTGTCCTTTTCCCCAGCAAGCAGCGCCACAACAAGCTGTGGAAGCAGCAGGCAGAGAGCAACCTGCCCCCCAACACGGACGGCACCACGGGCTCGAGTGACTTCCTCCTCGAGAGCCTGGACATCGACCTGGAGAACCGCCTGGCTGACCTGGACATGCCTTCGCAGTCGGCGTACCTGGACAACCGCGCCGGCACCGACGGGTCCGTGGGCTTTAAATACTGCTTCCGCCGCCTCTCGGACAACTGCTGCTTCCGCCGCCTCTCGGACACGCTGCTGGAGAACAAGATTCCCGGTGACAGGGAGGGCTTTTTCCCTGTGGAGCTGGAGCGGGATGTGCTTGCGGAGCGCACTGCCTCGCTGGTGGGACAGCATCCGTCTGCACCATCCGAGGGGAGGACGCTGGAGACAGCAAAAGCCCTGGAGACCGCAGAGCCGCTGGCAGAGCTGAGCAGCTTCTGTGAGAAGGAGGCAAAGAAGAAGCTGGATTTCAGCCCGCGGAAGGGGAGGATAGTGCTGGGCCCCGGGGACCACAGGGAGGACGCTGTCAGGGAGGAAAATCCAGTGGAGAAGTGGAAGCGGCGTTTGTCCGTGCACAAGGAGGAGAGCAGGCTTAATAGGGAGAACTTGAATAACAACAACAGCAAAAGGAGTTGCCCAGAGGATTTTGAGGTGCGTATGGAGGTGACATGTAGGTGATTAGCATGGCTGACTCTGCTGCAAGTGAAACTGCTCTTCTCATCCTCATAGCACAGTTTCATTTGACTTGGATAAAGCCTTTCATTCCATGATGAGCCGCTTCCTTTTCGAAGTGCTTCTGAACATGGCTTTGCTTGCCCAAGCTATGGAGTTAAATGCCAGAGAGAGAGCGCACACATGCGAGCGCCCTATAAACCGCTTGGGGCAACTTGCATGACCGTCACTTGCACGGGTAGGTATCTGTCCTCCCACTGGAGATACTGTCTGCTGAGAAAGTAAGTGGTCTTTGTTCCTGCTGCAGGGCCTTACGAGAAGTGGAAATGGGCTTTGTTTCCAGCCTGCTTGGCTGTAATTAGATCTCGTGCTCTGTGCCTCTCTGCTGGTGGCTGATGTCCGGTTCTCTGCGCCTTTAGCTGTACCTGTTTTCTCTTTTGCAGCACGATGCTGTGTTTGGGATCCTCAGTAAGGTGAAGCCTTCCTACCAGTCCTGCGCCGACTGCATGTACTCCTCAGCTGGTTTGTCCCCGGACTCCTTTGGGGAGCAGTGTGAGAAGCTGAACCCCGGCACCGCGCGTCGCAGCGCTGCCACCATCTGCACGCAGCCAGCCTTCCTCTCCCACGTCAACTCCAACTTGGCAGAGCACCTGCCCAGCAAGGCACGCTTGGAGGAGGCAATCAGAACTAAACCCAGCGAGGCTCCGCTTCCTCCCTCGGCAGGAGCTGGTGCTCTGGAGGCTGGTGCTTGCAAATCGCTCGATCAGCACTGCGGTGTTTTGGAGAAGGGAAAAGATGCACCAAAAAGCCCGGTCAAAGCTCTGCTGCCCAGGAGAAACTCACACTGTGACAAGAGCCTCCTTAATGTGGAAGTGGTAAAAGAGGAGTCTCTAGCCAGAAAAGACAGCAAACCTACCAAGGATCTGAAGTACTTGTTCAGCAAAGACTTGGAAAAGCCAAGTGCAAACAGTTACTTGATGCAGCATCAGGAGTCTCTTATCCAGCTGCAGAAGGCAGGCCTGGTTAGGAAGCACACGAAAGAGCTGGAGCGGCTGAAGAGCCTGCCCTCGGAGGCCTCATCCCTGCTCAGAGAGAGCCCTTTGAGCAGGGTGGACTCTGGCATCATGGAGGAGAGCGAGGATTTGATTTCACATCCCACCCTCGTGCCTCTCCTGGGACCAGCACCGCTGATAGCCGGAGATGCGGAGAAGTCGGAGGTGAAGCGCGTCCTGGAGGGGATCTCCCAGAAAACCTCCACGCCTGTGGCGTGCCGGCTGGAGCACACGAGCAGCTTCACCAAGGACTTCCTGAAGACCATCTGCTACACCCCGTCCTCCTCCCGCAGCTCCAACCTGACGCGCAGCTCCAGCAGCGACAGCATCCACAGCGTGCGGGGCAAGCCCGGCCTCGTGAAGCAGCGGACTCAGGAAATAGAGACCCGGCTGCGGCTGGCGGGCTTGACCGTGTCTTCCCCTCTGAAAAGGTCCAACTCTCTCGCCAAGCTGGGGTGTCTGAACTTGTCCTCTGAGGACTTGTCCAGCGACATGGAGGTGTCAACCATCACGGACTCCAAAGAGGCCGTTTCCAGCGAGTCTTCCATGCTCTGTGAGCCACAATCCACGCTGAGGGGTGCAGACATCGCCTCCAAGCTGGCGGCGAAGCCAGCGCTTGGAAACTTGAAGAACACGCTTTGGATGGGCAAAAGTTGATGCCTTCCCCGGGGGGTGCAGGGGATTTTGAGGGGTTTTTGGCATTTATTCGTTGCACCGATGCAGTTTATCATCTGACTTGCAGTAGTTCATCTGATGCCACCTCTTCGTGTCCCCCCCTTGCACTCTGAGTGGGGAGAAAAAAGTCCATAATGGGTCATGGTGAATGGCACAAGGGAAAATAAAATGTATTGCATGGCTTAGAAGAGGACCTTGTGTGTGAATCGCCCCTTGTCCTGCAGGATGCTCTTTCTAGTACTGTTTGCCAAGTATAATAACGTGGGTTTGTGTGTGTATATAGATAGATACTGGTGCTGTTTATCTATCTATATATATAAAATGCTGAAATACTCTTGTTTCAAAGACTCAAAAGAATTAGTCAGGACTTTTTACAGAACAAACACAAGTCTCCAGATAAAACAGGGCACTTGTGGAAAAATCCTTAAAATGGTGACACGAACACTACCTCTGATCTTGCTGACTTTGAGTCTTGGGTTGTTGTTTGTCTTTTTTAAAGGCTTTTCCCACAGTACTTCTGTTGTTTGAAGGTATTTCCTTGATGGGAACTGTAAAGGCCCAGAGGAGACAGAGGCTTTCCTGGCTCTGAAGTGAAGGAGCATCGAGCTGTGTTCGTGTTGACTCTGTGACCCGATGGCGTTTGTCTTCACTGGGTGACCGGGTGGATTGTCACCGCCTTGTGTTGGTGCTGGAGGGACCCCCACGCCGCGTCCCTGTCACGGGCTCCCGGGGAGGGCTGTTGTGTTCTTTGGGTGTTGTTGCTGTCGTGGTTTGTAGTGTCACAGTGCTAATGATGAGCTTGGCCAGTAAGTGACCGTGGACCCTAGTGAAGCTTTGTGTGATGCTGTGTCAGTGTCGTGGAACCTTCATCGGGCTGTTGGACACGCTGAGGAGGGGCTGCTCTCTTGGTGTCCCACGTGTTTGCAGTAGGTGATCGTGTCTCTCCTGATGGTCGCTGTTGGTTTTGGTAGAACGGTTCCTGTGTCCTGGGTTTGGGAAGCCCGGGGGTTATTTATGCCGGGTGGCAGGAGCCTGGGTGTACGTGTCCCAGCCTCCTGCCAGGGGTGGCAGAACCATTAATCCTGCTCTGAGGAGGAGCCGTGCCTCCCCGGGTGAGCAGGCAAAGAGAAATAGAGGCTCACCCCAACGAGAGGGGGACGGTGAAGGCTGAGGGTGAGATCTCTCACAGGAAGGAGGGAGGCAGCCAGGGGCTGCCCGTGCTCTCCCTCAGCGAGGTGCTCATGGTGCCAGGCCCGGCCAGGCCAGGAGGGAAGAGCCTGGGAAGCGTGTGGGGATCATGCTCCAAACCTCGGTGCTCGCCGAGTCCCAGCGAGCTCCCCACGTCTTCAGATCTCCATCAAAAGCCATTCTTAACGTCCCCTCTTCGAGGTGGGGGTCACAGGGCTGCAGCAGTCGTGCTGAGTCTGCGCTAATCAGCACTCCACTGTCTCCAGACAGGGAGCTCTCTGGTTTTACTGTCCTAAATGCCCAGCGTTTACCTTTTTTGCCCCCCATTTTTATACTGTGTGAGGAGTTGTCAGGGCTGGCAATCAGATGAATGTCCCTCCTTAAAGGGTCTGAAGTGGGATGTACGTTTTTAGCTTGAGGCACCCTTCCCGTTCCACCCATGGAAGCTGGGCTGAGGCAGGAGCTGCTGGACAAGGTGTGCGAGTCTTTGCTTCTAGGGCTGAGAAGACGCTGGGTCGTGTTCAGAGTGAAACCCCTCTGCCCCACGGCTGCACTTCCACGTCTGCTGCAATAAACCTCCTCTATCTGCTCCATCTTTCCTGTCCTTGTTCCCTCCGGGATTCCTTTGGATGAAGGGGGCCCCACTGGATGCTGCAGGGCTCGGAGCAGCCGCCTCGGAGGAGCTTTGTGCCCCCTGCTCCCAGCACGGCCTCATCGCCCGCCTCAGCTTGCCCCTCGTTGGCAGGGTTGCTTTTCTCTGCTGTATGTTAAACTACAGCCGCTTCCCATTGCTGCCCGGCCACCGGGAGAACTGGGAGAGCTGGCCTGGAATACCTGCAGAAGGATTCCATTAACTAATAGAAGCAAAAGTGCATCTTTCCTCCCTGTTTCCTCCGGTGCCTGCTGGGTGCTGGGCACAAACCGCTGCTCTCCTGGCCTCTGACCACCTTTGGCCTCGGCTCTGGCTGGACCATCCCCAGCGTGGGCTCGGGGCTGTGTCGTGACGCTGTGGGGATAGAGGCTTGGTGTGGGGGCTCGGGGAGCACTCGTGTGCCACAGGGTGGGTTTGTAGCCAAACCTCCGACGCTTGCAGGCTTCAGTAGAGTTGTTGCATGAGAAGGTAGATGTGCTCGTCCTCTCCCGCGTGTCGTAACTGTTCTTTTCCAATGGAGTGCCTTAATACTAGTTTACAAATACTGTGTATTCACGCTGAGCTGTTACTCTGCTGTTGGCTGTTCTTTGTGTTTCGGTGCTTTTGGTGTTTCCGGCACTTCTGCACATCCACGTCCCTGAGCTCAGCGCTGCTGAAACCGCTTCCCCCTGCCCTGTGCATGGTGAAACCAAAGGGCTGTGGGCGACGCTGCTGCAGCACTTGCAGCTCCCGGTGCTCCCGATTGATCTATGCATTGCTGCAGGAATGGGACGGGGGGATCCAGGGAGACATCCCGCCACCGTGGGTCACCGGCTGTGAACCCGAACCCAGTCCCCTCCTGCCAGAGAAACCCAAACGCACAAAGCTGGCACCTTATTCCAGCAGGTCCGTGTGGTGGCAATAGGCGTCCTCCCGGCGGGATGCTCGGGAGGTGATCCTGGTTATTCCATGAGCACAGCCCCGGAGGAGGGGTGGGTGACGCTGTAGCTGTTCCAGTGCTGTACTCTGATAACAACCGTTCCTTTGACTTCATGGTGTTTCTGAATCCTGGTTTTATATCGAAACAAGCAGCATCTTTTGTACTGTACGAGGCATAATGCACTTTTTTTTTACCTTTTGGTTGTAAAATGACTGTACATTTTATGTGCTTCTTGTGAGGATAAAGAAATAAACCTTTTTGTTCTGTTTTCCTTTATGAACGAGCTCTGCAGCCTTTGTGGAGGTGGGAAGGACTGAACCGGCCACAGGGAGCAGACCCCGGATGGTCGGAGCAGCAGCCACCACTGTTACCGTGTCCTCTCTTCCCATCTGATCCCATTTTTGGGGTCCTGGCTGTTTTCTGTCACCCTGAAGGCCAGGTCAGGAGGTGCCATTGTCCCTTGTCCCTCTCGGTTGTGTCCTTGCAGCACTGGATGTGTTGCAGCTGCCCTGCTGGGATGGCGAGCACTAGGAATGCACCCGAGCTGCAGCAGGGGCTCATGCATGGGGCTTGTAAGAGGAAAAAGGGAATGCTGTAGGAATACACAATTCCTGGAGGCAGGAGTAGGACTGGAACATGGGATTCCCACCTATAGGAGAGCCCAGGCTGGGTTTAAGGAGAAGCTGCTCCCGTTTCAGTGCGGATGTTGGCAGCGGAGCGTGTGGAAGCGCCGCCTGCTCCGTGCGGAGCCCTCCCAGAGTGACACATGGAAAAGTGCTTGTTTGGAGAGGGGCCCGGTGCTACCACGGGGGCACGAGGGGTTAATTCCCACAGCCCCACTCTGGTTCCCTGTGGGAAAGCCGAGACCTAAAACCCGGGATGCGGCTCTTTGCTGCTCCGGGATCCACCCGAGGTGGGACCAGCCCTTCCCGGGCATCCACATTTTGCCTTTAAAGGCAAACTGAGCATCTGCCTCCGGAGCCCGTGAGGAGCCTGTGACTGTGGGGATCGCTCCTGCTCCGGAGCTGCTCCGGGGAGGAACGTGTCTGTGTTTACCTTGGCAGGCCCCTGTTCTTGGCACACTTGCCTCAAAGAGTCATTAACCCCACCAGCACTGTTGCTGTTTAGGGGCTTTGGGGGTGATTCAGCTTGGATTTGGCACCATCACTCGGGCTGCTGCCCTCTCACCAAGCCCAGCCGCCGGGGCAGGAGCCGGTGCTTGCACCATCACGATGCTCCTTTGCTACCTCCTCAGGTCACAAACTCATTGGTGTGAATTAGGTGATGTTTAAGTGGCAGCAGAGGCTGGGGTTGCTCCTGGGTGCACTGAGTGAGAGCAGGGAGCTGGGGACACCCCCTGCATGGTGCAGCTGTGGGTCACCCTGCACCACGTGTGTGTCTGATGGTGCTTCATGTCACCAGCACCTCTCCGGCTGCACTCACAGCCCCGCAGGGACCCACATGGGCAGCAGGGCAGCAGCTGGGAAAACAGCCTGCAAGGGATGGAGATGGAGCCCTGGGCTGGGTTTGTGGAGGGTTTGGTGGTCTTACACCCAGCAGCA